GAAAAGTGGCTGCTGTTTAAAAGGTAGGGAACCACTTATCCATTTCAATCTCCTCATTTTATAGTTGAGGTAGCTAACTGAGGCTCAGAGAAATAAAGAATTTGGCCAGAGTCCTTAAACAATGGATCCAGGACTCAAATTGAGTTCTGACGAAGACGCAAATTCTTCCCACTATTTTGTTTCCTTCCTCTGAGATGTTCCTAACTTTTAACTTTCCCTACACTCTCATGTATATAGTCATACTAGTTGCTATCAGTTGTGGCAACTTCTGTGGTTTATAGAAAGTGTTGGGACAATGTGTCAAACAGCTATCACAGAGAAATCTTAGGTAATAATTTAAAAAAACCATGGATAAAATAAAATGATATTTGAAGACCAGACTTACTGGCCTGACATACACTGGAGAAACCCCAAGAGTATGAACCCTAGATACCCTTTTAGCTTTCAGCTCAGTAATGAAGGCACTCCTGAGGTTCACCTTTCATCCGAAGATTAGACAGGCCCATAAAAAAGACTAAAGGGGCACACCAGCCCAGGGGCAAGGACTAGAAGATAGGAGGGGACAGGAAAGCTGGTAATAGAGAACCCAAGGTCGAGACAGGAGAGAGTTGACAGGTCGTGGGGTTGTTAACCAGTGTCATAAAACAATACGTGTACTGTTTAATGAGAAGCTAGTTTGTTCTGTAAACCTTCATCTAAAGTACATTAAAAAAAAAAAAAGAAATGATATTTGAGTCTGATAGTTTTCATTGGGCAAATTATAAGCTATTCAAAACAAACAGTAAGAGCTTGGTGAATATATTTTTTAAAAATGACAAATCAGCCCCCTGTGTAATAATGTTTGCATGGTTATGACTGGCCCCAGTTACCCTTCTATCAGAGAACCAGATGTGCCCTCTAAATTAGGAGGCTGGGCAATCAGACAAATCCAAATTGAGAGGCATTCTGCAAACAACTGTCAATGGGTTGGAAAAGACTGGGGAACCACTCTAGAATAAAGGAAACTTAAAAGACATGACAAGTAAATGTAATGCATGATGGTTGATTGGATCCTAGATCAAACAAAACCAAACCAGCTATTTTTTTTAAAAAAATAAGAGCTATAAATGACATTCCTGGGACAACTGGGGACATTTGGATATGGACTGTGTATTAGATGATGTTACTGTATCATTGTTTAATGTCCTGAATGTGATAGTTGCATTGTGTTGCTTACATGGGAGGACGTCTTTGTGTTTAAAAGATACTTAAAAGCGCATGTAGGGATAAGAATCAGGATAGACGCATCCAACTCTCAAATGGTTCAGAAAAAGAGCCAGAGAGAAAAAGAGCTCGCTTGTGTATTCCCATTGCTATGGAGTCAATTCTAACTCATAGTGACCCATTAGGACACAGTAGGACTGCCCCATACGGTTTCCAAGGCTGTAATCTTTACTGAAGCATACTGCTATATCTTTCTCCCGTGGAGGAGCTGGTGGGTTTGAACTGCTGACCTTAAGCAGCTAAGTGCTAAACCACTGCACCACCAGGGCTCCTGCTTGTGCATTAGCATGTGGAAGCAGGCTTGTTGTGGCATGCACGAACACGCACAGAATGAAAGGTATGTGACTGTTCGTTTTATTCTTCTTAAAATTTTTCTGTACCTTTGCAATTTTCAAACTAAAAAGTTGGGGAAGAACTCAGGGTGCTAGAAAGTAATTCTGTATCTGTACACAGAGGGGAAAGAGAAGCCTCTAAAGCCAAGAGTTTCTTATTCTATATGGCTGACAAAAGGCTTCTCTGTTACCAGAAGATCTGACAGTCTACTGTCCTACCAAAGGGGAGAGGGCAAATTAGACTGCCTGAAACATTTATGGGTTAAATTTCTTCCATTGGGACATTACAGCACTTACATGATTTTTAATTAAGAAAGTAAACACTCTAATGTATATTTTTAAAAAAAAATTTAGTACAAACTAGTTACACATTTGGTGAGCGTATAAATATTTCTGGAGTTGAAAAAGTCAATAAAAGGTAAAATCATTCTGATTTTAATGTTTATGTACATGTGTTCACTGGTTACTGCTTTGCATTTAATTTAAGACCTCCTTTTTAATAAGCAGAAAATGTACATTTTTATATTGTTTAAATTTTAATACGGATTTTTGTTCAAAACAACACAGACATTCAGGCTACTTGTAAATGATACAAGATTTTTTGCTAATGAGGCATTATGTAGAACATATGCAAAAATCACAACTCAGTCTTCCAAAATAGACCACAACAACAGGAAAAAACATGATTTTAATAAAAAAGAGCAGCACTGGGTTTTTACTTCAAAGCAATTAAGGGCTTTGGATAACCAAAAGTTTATGTCAAGCTGATGCCAAACCAAACTGATCCATTAAACACATACTGTGAAGAGTTTCTGTAATAGTCTATGAAAAGGCTCTTCGCCATAAATATCAAGCACCGCCGCTCTGGAGATTACAACTACGTTAGGTTCATGTTTGGAACAAGGAGTACAACATCCAGATCAGACTTCTAGAATTTCAAATCTGAAATAATGTATCCGTGAAAGAGAAGTTTAAATATGTTTTCCATTTTCCGATTTTTCTCTACAGTAAATTATACCAAGTTTTATATTCTCCCCAACATTTTTTCAAGTTTTCTATTAGTCTCAAAAAAAAAAAAAAAAATTGCTGTTACACATAAAACATTGAACTATGTGTAAACAGAAAAAAAAAAAGCCCTGAAGTTCCTTATTTTAAGTTACTTCTTTCGTTTTCAACAATTGTATTTCAAGAAACAATACACTATTCACTGCAGGTATCTTTTCTTCTAAGCGAATAATATATATAAATTTTTGATTTTATAAAATCAGTGAGATAAGGTACACATTCACTTATTTCTTTGGCCTCTGCAACAAAAGTTCCTTTACCTGTAATATTCATTTTGCCTCTGCTTCTAGTTCTCGATGTGACAACAAATAGATTGCTATGGAGTGGATGATATAGCTACCTGAGGAGGGCCATAGTTTTGTTTCCAAGGTAAATTCCTCTATGTGTCTATGCTGGTGTCTCTTGGTGTTCAATTAACACTGAGAGTCTAGCTCCTAGATAATCCTGTCCCTTTGGAAGAAGGAACAGCCAACACAGTGTCCATTTTTCTCTCTGGGAATCTGAGACATATAACAGGGAAAGCAGTCCCTGGCTTGTACTCAGCAGCAGAATATAGCTGATATGGATGGGCCCCAAGCTTGGGCTTGGTTGAAGGGTATTATTTTTATATTAAGATACCATCTTAAATATGGCTCTTGGCAATTTACGAAGATCACCATACCCAGTGTTGGAGTCTGGTCCTTCAGCATTGTGTCTCATACGGAATCATTCCTTGGTTTTCTAAGAAGACTGAGTCTAAACCAGTTCTTCTTCCTAGGGGAACATGCTTAATTCCTAGGTATTTAAGCTGCCTGAAAGCCAGGGTTCCGATTACATCCCCTAATTTAAATACATTTCTCAAAAATAGTAATGTTTCTTTTGTCTTGCACTTAGAAGGGTAGGAAAATGTCACTAGACATATAGGATTTCATTACATAACTTAATGTTACACATAACTTTTCAGGAACAGAAATGATTAGGGATAATGAATTCTAATATTTTAAATCTCTGAACTATACAGTTTTTCATATATTTTTTGGCCCACTTTACTATTTTTCGTTTTTAACAAGTCTGATAATACATATTTTTTCTCAACTTCTTTATATGTTATCATGTAAGGTTAGTTAAAAGAGGACTAAACTCTGAATCTGAAACGAAAAACTAAACATCCATACTTGGTTTTTATAAATAAGAACCTAGCCACATAAGCGTAATATCACATAGACTGGAAAGGGGAAAAATAAATAGAGGAATTAGTCTGGTTTAAAAAAAAACGACATTAAGAGAGGAGTAAAAGACATAAGACATATAACAACCAAATGCAACATGTAAATCTTTTTTGGATTCTAATTCAAATGTACAGTAGAAAGACATCCTCAGAAAAGTTTAAATATGGACTAGTTATTAGATGATATTCAGGAAATGCTGTTAATTTTGTTCGGTGGGATACTGACATGGTGGTTATGAAAAAAAAAATGAATTTCTTATTAGATAGAGATACATACTAAAGTATTTAGGGTAAGAAAACATGATATCTGGGGCTAATTAACTGAAGGATAAAGAAAGTGAGGGGATAGATGAAACAAGACTGGTAAACGTTAATAATTATCAAAGCTGGGTGATGGGTAGATGGGGGTTCATTATGCTTGCTCTCTTTACTTTTAGATAAGCTGGGTCCAAAAAAAAAAACACCATAAAGGGAAGAAAATAATTAAAGAATGTGGTAAAAAGATAAAGTCTTGTTGAAAGCACAATGTGAAAGCATAAAAAACAGTAAAGTATTAGGAACCAAAACCATGGCAAAGGAGGATAGGAAAAAAAATTACATATTATAAACTGTCAAAAACGAAGCGGCAGCAAGGAGAATACTATCATCAATAACAACCAACAGAGTGTGATGAAAACTTTGAATATCAGGAGAGGTAGCCTCTTTTTGGGATCACAAACAGATGCCATATTATGGAATTTACTATCTTGTTAGGCTGCAAAAAAATTAAATCAACCTGGACTTATGCACCAGGTATGCCAACAGCTGAGTCCTTGTCACCTATATTTCTCCTGGTAGCTACAATCAAATGGTATTAGAACTCCCTGCAATCTTGGCAAAAGGGGCAAATGAATGGAGGAAACAAGAGGAGAGTGATTTGCATTCATCAGAAGCTGCTCCAACAGCAGCGAAGGTTAGGGAAAACGTCTCTTAGACTACAGCTGTCGAGAGTAGTTAGAGAGCTATTTATGAAGAATGTTAAATAAAAACATGATTTTAAAACAGACTAGATAAAATTATCCTTTTGAGTACATGGCAAAGTATTTTAAACTAATTTTGACCTTATCCAATTGTTATTTCTGTTTTTAACATACCTTTGATCTGTAGCTTGCTGTTCTCGAAGTTGAAGAAGAGATAACTCAATTTCGTTTTCTTTTCTCCTCAACTGAGTTTTCAGGATCTCAGCCAAGTGCTCTAATTCTTCTATCTGGTCTCTCTGAGTCTGAATAACATTTTCTCTGAAATAAAAAGCCTTTACAAGAATTTGTAGTTTGAGGAAAAATTTGCAGTATTTGAGATCAGTGCAAAGAAAGCTCTCCATATAAACAGCAAGTAAAAGTTAAGACTTTTAGCTTAAGTGCCTCAGACAGAGTAAAATATTAGATTAAATGTGATGATTTGGAAATACATATGGAACAATTCAAGATAATACTTTTTACAAGATACTGTCCTAGGCAATGGACTGGACTTTGGTTAAATTCAGTTAAAAACCCATTGCCATTCACTTGATTCCGACTCATAGCGACCCTATAGGACAGAGTAGAACCACCCCATAGGGTTTCCAAGGAGCGGCCGGTGGATTTGAACTGCAGACCTTTCGGTTAGCAGTCAAGTTCTTAACCACTATGCCACCAGGGCTCCAAATTCAGTTACATAAGTGTTTACTGATCACCTACTATGTACTCCACTATCTTTTCATCTTCAGATCATGTATATGCCTTTGTTTTTTCATATGTACATCTGCCTACATCATCCAAACAAGGGAGATGAGATGCCAAACACAACTTACTGGTCCCTAGCATGCTTTTCTCTCTACCATGTCTAGCAGCCACCCAGGATAAGGAGCCTCAGAGAAGTGGTATGACCTCTGGCTTTTCATCTGATTATCAGGTAACAAGATGTTGTCTAGATTTTCCTTGTCTTAGCCTTTCATTGCCTGATCATTATTGTAACTGATGTCCAAAATATCCAAAGGAGATCATTTTAAGTCCACAGTATTCTTAAGCAACTATCTAAAGCATCATATTCTGTCTTTGTGGGTTTTTTTTTCTTCATTCAGTATTGTAACTTTTTTTTTAATTGTGGCAAAAATATATGTAACAAAACATTTGCCATTTCAGCAGTTTTTACATGTACAATTCCGTGAAATTAATTATGATTATCATGTTGGAAAAAATTTAGAAACAGAGGTGATGGTAGTATTGGTTCTTTTTGATAATCCATGTGAAATTTGTAGATAAGGTAGAACCTTACCTTCATCTGTGACTCAGAGACACTGAAACCATGAGGCTTTGATTAACTGAAAATTAAATGTGGCTACAGTAACTTTTACAAAACCATGGTATGATGAAGAACGCAGTACCACAGAATCACAGAGAAACAAAATCTGAAATCCATATGTATCAGATAGCTCTGTATGTTTAGGCCACTCCTCTTAGTATCTTCTTTTTTTTTTAACCACCAAAAGAACTAATGAATTCCGGACCTAAACTAAAAAAAATTACCTGTAATTTTCCTGAGAATGAGAATATCACCTCTACAGCTTATACTATTCTCAATGACTGGGCATTATGCTATTCCTTTGGGGGTGGGGGTTCATAATAAAGACGTCTATTCCATAAACCCTTCCATCAATGCAATTGGGTAAGTTGTTAATATTCCTCACTTTACTAAAAATATGCTCAATGATATCTGTTTTTAGCCCACAGAACTGGCTGTATTTTAGTGGAGCAAATTATTTATACATAACCTAATCCTCTATAAAATAAAGAACAGGGAGGGATCAAAAAAGACAAAATCAATAAAGTTCTAGAATGGCTGTGGAAAAGAATACATACAAATTTCTGATTTCTCCTCTGGCTTCTTCAAGTAAACTGCTGCCATATTTTGTAAGCATGGGTTGTAGAGTTTCTGCTACATCTACATCTTGGAATCTTATGCCTAAAAACAAATTAATAAAATTTGATTATAGAAGTGAAGCTAGAAAAGAAAGACCCTGATTTACTATTGTCAGGATATTTATAGTAAAATATTTTATGAAGTACTACGAGATATATGCTCTATAGTACAGAGAATTAGAAATATACCATCGGAGGGACTATTAGATCTTAGCCACCAGCAGGCATTAAATAAAACACAGCGGCAAGTATTGCCCATTTATCAGCTTCTACGATGGAAACCAAATTACCAGAAATAATTTGATTCAACTTAGGTTTAGAATTCCTGCAGTAATTTCTGAAAGAAACAAGGTCTTCAATTCAGGTCTTTACAATATAAACTGAAGCAGGAAGTAAACAGCCTCAAAAATATGAATTTTTTTTCCTAGTATTTCTGATAAAGGTTTTTTGATTTTTAAGTTAGCAATTCAGATCCCTTGACCTCACGTTTAAGTAAAATGTTCCCTGTATTTTAGTTTATTCCACATGAATTAGAAAATCCATATTTAAGCAAAAAGTAACTTGAGAATGGATCAATAGATTCCTTTAAATAAAACATTTCCTTGATGGACTTTAAATATAACTTCCTTATAAAAATACTTACATACAATTTTACAAGGATAATCACATTGCTAAAAATGAGACACGTTTTAAATATGTACTATACATTTGTATAATGATTAAATTATTAGAATTTAAGGTAGATAAAAGGGGCCCTGACTGTACAATGGTTCAGCGCTTGGCTGCCAACCGAAAGGCTGGTGGTTCGAATCCACCCAACGGCTCTGTGGAAGACCTGGTGACCTACTTCCATAAAGATTACAGCCAAGAAAACCCTATGGGGCAGTTTTTCTCTGTCACTAGGGGTCACTATGAGTTGGAGTCGACTCCATAGCATACAACCACAACAAGGTAGATAAAGAATAACCAAAAGCAAACCATTTGCTGACAAATAAATTGATTCAGTCTCATGGCGACCCATGTGTGCAGAGTAGAACTGTGCTCCATGGGGTTTTCAAGGCTGTGACCTTTCGGAAGAAGACAGCCAGGCCTTTCTTCCAAGGCGCCTCTGGGTAGGTTCAAACTTCCAACTTTTCAGCTAGTAGTTTGGCTTAATTTTTTAAAAATGAGAATTTTAATGAGAGTAATGGGACTATTATTTGCTTTTTCTAAAAAATTCAACATCTATTGATGTATCTCAGACTAAAGAATGTAAAGGTTTTGCCTAAAACATTAAAATAGTTTGTTGTTGTTGTTAGATGCCATCGAGTTGGTTCTGACTCATAGCAACCCAACCCTATGAACGACAGAATGAAACACTGCCCAGTCCTGCACAATCCTCACAATCGTGATGCCTGAGCAATTGTTGCAGCACAGTAAAAAATAGTTTACTGTGTTAGAAAATACCAATTGTATTATTTTAGCAGCAATACTAATTCTTTAGCTTTTCCTACACAATCATGAAAAAAATTCAACACTAGTGGAATTGAAAAAAAACGAACTATACTCAAAATATACCTCAAAACTTATAGTCTCATGGTGATATAATTTACCAGCTGTTACATTTTAAAGTGGACATACTGTAGAAAAATCTTTGTTCTCACTGGTTCTTCACAATAAGAAATGTCTCTTCATTACACTGATCACATCTTAAGCCAATGCTTCCCATCCTTTTCTCTAACAAGTCACAAATAGAAAATGATAATATTTGTATAGTAGCCTGGGGTAAAGGCTTGTGGTCAAAGAAGGCCTGGGTTTCTCATCTAGTCACCCCTGACTAAGATATATTCCTGACAACTCTGGCCTAACTCTGAGCCTCAAAGGCAGTCCTGAAGAGTCTATTAGTGTTACCAAGGTATCGACTTTGGCAATGATGCCTCAAATTTACTCAGAAAGGTACTGGTTAAAGTATCTGTCATTACTTAATGCTTTCCGTAACTTCCCTGTCCTGGGCTCTGTATCGAACCGTGAACAAGGTCTGAATCACTAACAGTATGCAAACAAAGGAGAAGTGTAAACTATGCAGTCGCATTTTTTAAAAATACTCTGCTGCTCTGTGTCTTCTTTTTTTAATACAGAGACATTTCTATCAAACTCTTCTATTTAAATAGCATTTCATAGCACTAGATTAATTTGCTACTTTAGTCTAAAACTTGAAATACTGTTTTTATTTACTATAAAAGACCTTGTAGCCTGTCTGCATTCACAGATGACAAAACTAAAGCTTAGGGAGGATCTGTGACTTTTTAAAGGTACGTTATCATGCAGCTATCATCTGACCTCTTAGGTAATCTGGAGTTATCACTCCATTTTACAGACAGGCAAAATGAGGCTGTGAGAGGTCAAGTACTCTCTTCCAGGTAGAAAAGTTAATAGTGGCAGAACGTATTTTCTAACTTATGATGATCATATTAGGTATATTCAGAGTCTATTGCCAAACTCATACAGCTAGGAGTAGCCAAGCCCTTTCATCCTGCAGCTGCCCGCTGTCTATGCTCAGGCCATGTAGACTTCAAAGGCACTTTATGTAAGAGCAGACAGTGTTAACATTTTGGCTTGAAGAGAAAACTAGAACCGATTTTTCTCCCCTTCTGTTCATATGGTGTTTTTTTATTCCTCGATGAATTGAAACTAAAGTTTTACATGATTTTTTTATGTCCCTAAAAAATGTTTGGTCTTCATTCTACATGAAGTACATTCCAAAAGAAGAAAACGTGAGTTAAAATTTTATTTCCTCCCCTAATAGTTGAAATAAAAAAGTTACTTAAAATATTAATTTTCAGTTTCAATATAAAGTTTGTCAGTTGAGAAAATTGGGAATTTTAGAATATTTGGGTTGTATATTGAATCTTGTCTATGAAATTGAATTGCTTTGTAGCCTGGGTAGATTTAGATCATTCATTTTAAAAAATGGGGGAGAGATTGATCTATGATCATTTTTGCAGATGGAAGAGATCACTTGCTTCAATCCTTTTATTTTATATGTAAAGAAAACTCAAGTTCAGAATGGTCAGGTAACTTGTCCAAGGTCACCAGTTAGTTAACTAGAGCAAGAACTCAACTTCTTAAACCCTGAGTTACATACACATTTCACTGTCATGCTGCCTTCATGCAATGAGGAAGATATAAATAATTTTGCAATTTTATAAAAGATCTTTGAAGAACTTAGAATGCTTCATTCAAAACAGTAAAGGTGATCATATATAAGCAAACTAGCTGGTTTCCCCACTGGCCTGAGTCAATGTGATTTCTATCCATAATATAAAATAAAAAACCAAATCAAACTAAACTAAACTAAAACGTTACTTAGTTTCATACATGTCTCTCATATCAGTTAGGATGAATAGTTATATTGAATATTTTACCAAACAAATTTGAGAGTGATCTAGTGATTCTTAAATAAAATGATCTTCAGGGTAATATTGATTTTATGAAAAAGCAAGTTAAAAACTATTCTTGCATCTCTTTCTAAAGACACTTAAAAACACAAATAATACAGCAATAAAACAGTATGTGTGTATGTGTCAAACAATCTAGTAAAAGACTTAGGTTTAGGCCTTTATTTTACCTTTCCTGGGGCATTCCTGTACGCCTGCATTTTCATTCGCCTTTCTACGCCCAGTGTTAATACGCGATTGCACGTAATTGTATGGAGTTTGCCTGTGACCCTGGATTTGAAGTTGCTGTTTGGCGGAAATTACTCTGTTTTTGAGGACTTCATTTTGTCTTTCAAGCTCATGAACTTTCTCCTGCAGCCGCTCAATCATTTCTTCCATTTCTACATCCCGTCCCAGCCGCTTGGGGCCGCCACCAACCTGCTCATATCTTTTCTTGTCATTAACGAGCCGTATTAACTTGGTGGCCATTCTGGGGAAATAATAAAAAGATGAAAAGGAATGTGAGAAGTCAGCATAAAATGCATTCTGTTGAAAGGAACATAATCACTGTGAAGACTTCAGTGCAGAACCTGAATAATAAATTTCAGGTTTTGATGTAACTATTACTGCCTGTGAAGAATCCTTTGATGATAATTGAAACCACTGGGCAACAATCTGCTTTATAGCACTGACAAATAACAGTTTCCTAAGGCTTATCATTTAAGGTTAGTAAAGGGAGGACACATATTTACTCCATATGTTCCTCAAATGCAATTTTTAACGCATGACCTTATATAGGAATGCTGGATGCACTTAAATGTAGCTACAGATTGTGGATGTGGTGGGTTATATCTGCAATCCACAATAAGTCAAAACTTTTGAAAAGTGTGTTAAGACTACACAGCATTAAGCGATATATTGTTTTCAGTTTCTCTAGGATTAAGACATATTACAAATATAAAAATGTTAGAATGCGTAGATGTGCACATACAAAAGCCTAATAAAAAATTCAAAAGAAACCAAAATGCATCATGAAACATTACTTGGTGCTCAAGAAAGATGCTTGTTTAAAGGCAGAAAATAAATCGATGCAAAAAGCAGTATCTTAATACTATCTTTAAATTTAGGCATAAATTGTGCCTTTGACATCTCATGAGTTTATACTTTTGATTCTTTTAAGTTTTGATAAAAACTGGTTAGACAGAACAAAAGACAGAAAGGGCACATGGGGGTGATGTAATATACACGTACGGAAAACATGCCTGACAGTGAATGGAAAAATCCTGGCAGGACAAGAAAGAAAAGGTGGCTTCGATGAGAGACACAAGTTCAAGACTTTACAAAATTGGTCGCACATCTTCAATAGCTGATTCTAGTTTATAGTGAATCTATTTTTATAAAGACCCAGACAGGAGATTGAAAATAAAAACACTTCGTTTTTCTTTAAATGGGGTTTGCTTTATTTTAGCATGGTTATGGACAGAAGCTTTTACTTAAGAGAACAAAAGTGAAATAAAAAAATCCTTAATAGCTTTGGGATGTCACAGAACAACCTTTTTTTTGCCCTAAGCAGAGTCCTCTGTAAATGCAGTAGTAATACATGTCAATCTACGCAGCCTACAGCATGTGGCATCAGGGAGAGCTACGCCAAACATAATCAGTTAAGATTTTCTTTTTCCCTTGAGGCACATCCATTATGCATGCTTTGTAAGGGATATAGGATAATAAAGACCAACATCCAAGAGGACCACAAACACCCTAGTGAAATAATCAATGGATTAGTTCCCTTTCCACCTAATCCAGAGAATGCTATATCACTGGGAAATCTGGCCAGGTATCATAGCCCAACAGAGCCACACACTCTACCTAGCCTTTTAATGAGTTTAGGGTCCTGAGCTCCACTCAATGACCTACACATTGAAATACGGTAGCTGTCCAAATGAGATGTCAACTTAAATACTTAAATCCTTTGTTACACAGAGGCTTTCATACACAGATATAGATTACATTCAAGATAGATACAGATTTAATGCAAAGAAACAGTCAACATTTAGAGAAAAATACATGACCCTAATTTTTAAGGCAAGAAGAGCACATCACTACCTTCAAAGATGTTCAAGCAAACTTTGTCAAGAAGCAAAGACTGTATCTGTTTGTCCTGTAATAGAAAGGCTTTCATTCATTCGATTTGATTATCTTATAACACTAATGAATTCTAAGTGATTTGGTAAAGTTTGAGCACTTATTCAAAAAGACAGTTTATCAAATCCATACTTATACTAAAGAAAGTGATACTAATTACATCTTGAGGATAAATTTAAAGACAATTCTACCCATGTATCTAGGACAGTGTCAGTGGTGTGGGATTAAGAAGGAACTTAGAGCTTTGGGTCATAGTGATCATTGTATCACTACTCTCATGGCTGAGTAAAATAAAATCCAAGGAGGTTAAATGGCTTGAACATACCATGGCTAGTGACAGAGAGACAACAGAACACATGTATACAACATGACTCCTAGCCCAGTCCTTTTTCCATTAAACTACACGGCTCATTGTTGTTTTATATTTTCTGGCTAGGACAAATTACTAATGAGGTCAAGGTTGTGAATTCAATACTTTTACTGACCAATTAGGCTTACAAAGAAAAAAAATTGTTTAGTGGTCACGGAGAACATGCCTCACTCTGACTGGCTGACATATGTGTGCTACTGGTCAGAAAGTGAGTCAGGAAAGTGAGTCGGATGTCTTGAAAAAGCCACCATTATGACTCAAAAACCAACTCAAAGTAAAAGCCCTGCACACAGCAGGTCAGTGGGTTGTTAAAAAAAAAAAAAAAAAATCCACAGGGTAGAAACTGAAGTAGAATGATCCCTTCATGGTGAATTCTACGCAGAAAAAAAACCTATCTTCTTGCTTGCTTCAATGGCTGTCTCACCTTTCCAGTGAACCCTAGAACATGAATATGAGTATAGATCTGTTCATGCTTGCACATGTGATGGCACTCTTTCGCTTCTAATGCCATACATTGAGAAGATGGTCACAGTGTTTCAGAAATGAAAGAATGTCTTCTCTTAAGAAATTATTCCTGCAACATTTTATGCACACAAATCAAAAGTGACAATGTTTCTTCAGAAACGGTAGAGTCTCTTTGAAATAAATATAGAATCTAGACTAACCCAAGCAAAGTTAAATATGTTCCAGAGATTGAAGTGATGTTGTCGTTAATACACTTCAAGTCTTAAGAAAACATTCATTCTAACAAGTTAGAATAATTATTTTTCAAAGATTTCATTTTAAAATCAAAAAGACATTCAAAAAACAGATGCTTTGTACATTTGCTTATTAAACCATAAATATTAAACCAAAAGTTATTTATAGATATGATATACTCACGGCACTCTCAGCTATTAGCTTTCTTCTTTCAAATAGCAACTTCAGCTATAATAAATACTCATAATCCTTTTGGTTCATTATTCTAGTTTGCAAGATTTTCCATTTTTAAAAATTGCATTTATTTACAACCTGCCTTGTTGCAAAAAGATTCAAGGTAAGGCTTTCAATTAAGTTTATAAAAAAAGCATATCCTCCAAACTTTACTGAGTCCAGAAAAAAATCTAAAAGCTTTCTATCATAACCTTTTAATTTTATCCTCTTGCTTTCGGGCATGCTGTTTAAGTACAATGTTTTCATCATGCAAACGCAAAAATCTGTCTTCCAGTTCCTCACGACTGACGCGTGACACTGCCTGGCGAGACTTCATTGTCCGAGGTATTGAAGTTTCTGCAAAAATTCCAAGGTAATTAATTGTGAGATTACTTAAAATAGTCTATAATGATAACTGTTTATATTAATATAATCTTGATGCACTCATCCTAGATTTTTTTTACTTCGTAAACTATAATAAAGATTTAGAAAATGTTACAGCATTGCTCATACCACTGATTTGAGGTAGGAATAAAAATCTTTGCTATTAGTACTTTACATACAGTATTAAAGATTTGAGCAACAACAGAATCCATTAAAAACACAGTCAAATAGCCATTCTTTAAAAATATAAGGTAAAGCTCTTATTTAACATAGACTTTTAAGTTTATTTGCTGAATGTTGGAAAAAAACTAATTAAAAGCCAGAGTATCTGAAAGTGTTACCATTATTTTTTTTACGAAGGCAAGAGTATAATAATAATTTGGTGTGAACACAATATGATTAAGATATTTTTCTGAGCTATTGGTTTAGGTTATAGAAAATAAATTATAAAATTTCCAAGACCAAAACAAAACAAAACTCTTGAAAATTTAAAACACTGTCATTTAAGAATTTCACAAATCTTTTCTCAATAAGCTACCTTATATATATTTTATAAGAACTTTCATACCTTTAACGTGTGTATATGCTATCTCTTTAATTTATGCTTAAATTTGATATTTCCCATGTCATTGTGAAGTAGGTCAATTACCAAGAATCCTCCAAAAGAAACAAAGAACAAATGGATAAAGACTAAAGTCCTATAGTGAGTTACTGAGGGCAAAAATTGAACTTCGAGTACCAAAACACAGTACATAGCTTTGCATGCTTAAAATTTATTTGTATCTGAATCCCTCATGTTCCTGCGAAGATCTAAAGCAAAACTTACACGCACGTTTTACTTTTAACAATTAAAGCTGTAGTCAAATTTGTCTTTTCCAATGAACACCACATTGACCACCTTTCTAAGGTAGTTCAAGGTGACCACTCAAAATGTTCTAATAAAAGGCGTAGGAAGACTCCTTAGTGGAATATATTTTAAATCATTACCTTTCTCAAAAACAGATGTAGTGGCATGATAGCACGGCTGACACATGGTATACACAAACAAAACCAAAAAGCTCTATGTTCTAAATTATTCTTTAAGGTAGTCTTTTTCTTTTTCAATTTGAAAAGTGCTTTTTAGCTCTACATTAACCACTAAGTGATAAAAGGATAAAGAAAACCTTTAACGTGCATTAATTTTATTAAAAAAAAGTCACTATCGCTTGGAAAAACAAGTCATTTTAAGATACTCTACTTGAAAGACAAACGTTTTAAAATATGATGTTTCCTCCCATATAAAATTTAAATAAAAGGAAGATTTTAATGGTGAATGTGATTTAAACCAGGCAATTCAGTTTTGAGGCTTCATAGACTCTTCGTAGTTCTACTGATGTGTGGAATTTTAAAAAAATGACTTATAACAATTCTTTATCAGAACAGAGGAAGATTTTACATTTTCTAGGAGCTGTTGATAATTGACGCCCACAATAAAATACCATATGTTGTTCTAAACTCTCCATCTTTTTATTTAGTCCAATCAAGACTTATATAGTTACTTAAGTGGCTTGGTGTAGATGAATATCAAAAAAACGTTAAATTAAAAGTAAAGAAGTCACTGATCAAAGTTCATAAATATAATAAATAACAGCTGGCCGAACCTTGTAACTCTCCCATTCCAAAGTGGGTTAGACCTGTATCTTTCACAGGCAAGTCTCCTGCAGTCTCATCGGTTGGGCCAGACATGGCCTATCTGTGGAGAAGAAAATGCAAATAAAATCTTCCCAGTTATAACATTAACTATGCAATGGAATGAACCAAATAAAATGAATAAGGAACTAGAACTTTAATGGACATCTTATTGCCCACATGTGCTGCTGGAAGAAGATGAAAGCTTCTATCCTAAAATTAAGACTACATTCAATCATGGAGGCAATGTTCCTCTCAGCACTATATTTCCTATAGTTTGCTTTGGAAATGAAATAAGATTATCATTCTTCTTTCTTCTTCTTATTCTTCTAGCTGAAATAAAAACAAACTCCCTCACATTTAAGAAACACCTCCCTTCCATCCCCTGCCTCCTCTCCTCCCCCAAAAAGAAAGCAGGTATCTCGAAAAAACTCAAGTCAGGAACTTGAGTTCAAATGGTTGAACTTATTAGCATTTACTAGCAGGTCAGGTTACCTAACTTGAGTCTCAGTTCCTTAATTCCAAATTGGGGAAAACAATCCCTCACGGAGTTATTCCAAGAGTAAGTGAGATGGTAAATTAAAAGCACTTAGCACACTGCCTGAGATGCTAGTATTACTTGAATACTGGGATCTAATAGAAATGACACAAAAAAACACATGCAAACCTATGCTCACTACAGCACTATTCACAAAAGCAAAAAGATGGAAACAATCTAAGTGCCCATCAACAGATCAAGAATAAGCAAAATGTGGTAGATACACACAATGGAATACTACTCGGCAATAAAGAAAAATGAGTTCCTGAAACATTTTAAAATGTGGATGAACCTGGAGGGCATTATGAGTGCAATAAGTCAATCACAAAAAAATAAATACTGTGTGTTCTCATTTTTATGAAATGATATGAATAGGTAAATACACAGAAACTAGTTCATTAGTGGTTACCAGGGGTGGGGCTGGTGGAGAGGGAGAAGGACTCCCTAGATAGTAGGTCCTTTTTGTTTATAGGAATGAGAAAGGTGGCACCAAACGTGGGTGAAGTTTGCACAGCGTAACTGACGTAATTGATGTTAGTAAGTTGTACATAGAGAAAAGGGACGAATGGGCAAATGCTAGGTTGTACATGGTTCTGCAATAATAACAAAAAAGGGTGAGAGGCTGCAGATGCTGATACTGATTCGACATAAACAGTCACCTCATGGGATTAGTTCTCTTGGTTTGGGGGCTTAGGGCCGTGGTCTTGTGAGTCAAGCCACTCAGTTGGCATAACATAGTTCCTAAAGTTTATGTTCTACCTCCCTGTATGGTGAGTAGTGCCTGGGGTCTTAAAAACTTACTGAGTGGCCATCTAAGATATAACGATTGGTCTTTATTCTTCCAGAACAAAAGAGAAAGAAGGAAACCCAAGAATCAGAGAAGGAACTGGACTACGGGACTGACTCCGTGAACCACTGCCTCCTCCACCTTGAGACCAGAAGAACTAGAGGGTGCCTGGCTACCAGTACTGAACGTCTTGATCAGGGATACAACAGATCCATCCTGATAAAAAGGGAAAAAAATTTGGGATAGAACTTCAAATTCTTAAAGACTCTAGACTTAGTGGACCTATTGAGGCTGAAGGAGTCCCCAGGACTATGGCCCGGAGTTGCTCTTCAAAACTTGAATTGAAATTACCCCCTAAAGTCACCTTTAAACTAAGTAACAGTTTAGCCCAAACTATAAAGATTGTCACCCTTCAGTACTGTGTTCCAAAAAAAATCTCTATCAGACCAAAGAGTCAATAGCTATTTTAAACAGCTTTAGATGAGGTTAGGGGCAAGGGAGTTTATTAAGTAAATGGAAGTGGAACAACTAGAACAGAAATAACAAGAATGTTGACACAATGTGAAGAATGTAACCAATGTCACTGATCATTATGTCTAGAAATTATGGAATGGGAGTGGGTTTTGCTGTGTATAGTCACCAAAAATAAAATTAAACCTTAAATAATTACTTGAATATTAATTTTGTGTTCAAGGTACAAATGAGTGGATAGTCCAAAGTTTAGTGAAAGAGTTTCATAAATTCACCAGCTGGGTTTGTTTTGTTGTGTCCTGTTTGCTGCCACAATGTCTAGGTCCCAGGGCTTCCTACAGACTGTCTAGCTAATTTTGGTATTTTTAAAGTTTCTATTCCGTACAGAGATGCACCACAGTAACTTTATCTTGCACATGGACGTGTGGTCCATATAATGTTATCATACAAAAAAAAAAATTGTTAATTTTCATTTCTATGTACCCAGAAAACAAAATGCAAATTGCCAATGAAGATGCCCTAAGGAAGAGATTCTCAACCTTGAGAATGTTGGTCCAGAATTTAAGGTCCAAGATAGCAGCAAGCTTATTTGTCTTGTTCACCTCTGTATTCTTGGAGGTTGGCACAGAACTTGCCTGGCACATAGCAGACTTTCACTCAATGAATGGAGTCCATGGGGCTTTAGGATCTGTGAAACCAGAGATGGTTGACAAAATTTTGTATGCATATGTGTGTTATGGACTCAACTGTATCCTTCAAAAAAGATATGTTGAAATCTTAATCCCCGGTACCTGTGAAAATGATCTTGTTTGGAAATAGGGTCTTTGAAGATGTTGTCAGTTACGTTACATGAGGTTATACTGGAGTCCAGTGGCTCCTAATCTTATATGACTGGCATCCTAGTAAGAAAGATACACAAAGACAGAGAGATAGGAAGGACACCATGTGATGCTGCAGCTGCTAGCCAAGGAATGCCTATAGCTACCAGAAGCTAGGAGTAAGGCATGGAAAAGTCTTCCTCTCTGAGCCCTCATAAGTAGTCAACACGGTCAATACCCTGATTTGGACTTCTAGCCCCTAGAACTGTGAGACAATAAATTTCTGTTCTTATAAGCCACCTAATTTGTGGTCTTTTGTTATGGTAGCCCTAGAAAACTAATACTATGTGTATATGCAGTATCTTTTAGAGAGAGAGTTCATAACTTTCATTTTAACTCACAAAAGGGTGCGGAACACTTTATTGTGCTGTGACAGACACAGTTAACAGAGGTATGCCTGGGAGATCATCTACTTCTTTCAGAAAAACTGTGTCTTAGTTACCTAGTGCTGCTGTAACACAAATACTACACATGGGTGGCTTTAAAGAGAAAAAATTAATTTTCTCATAGCTCTGGAGGCCAAAAGTCCAAATTAGGGTCTTGGCCATGTTGATTCCTTCCTTGTTGGTAGCCTAGCTTTCCCTTAGTTTCTTGGCTTATGATGATCCTCACATAGTGTATGTCTTCCCCTATGTGTAACTCTATGTCTATTTTGGTCTCTTTATAACTCAGAAGTGATTACGTTTAGGATCTACCCTACACTAGTATGACTTCATTAACACAACAAAAGAAAATCCCTATCTCCAAACAGGATAACATCCACAGGTACAGGGGTTAGGATTTCAGCACATATTTTTTGGTGGACACAATTCAATTAACAATACACTACTACAGAAAAGGTCAAGTTTTTGAGACTGAATTGTAGGGCCCAAATCATCAACAAGTTTAAACAGAGTCCGTCTGTGAAAATGATTACTTTTCCATGATAGAATTAAGACAGATTTTATAATATCAGTACACCCACTCCTCAATTATTGACATGGTTAGGTTCCAAAGACCAGATCATTATGTGAAAATCGGCATTATGCAAAAATGGAGGATAACCACATCAGATCACAAAATGGAGGATGACTACATCATTACATAACTGCCAAATCACTGAGAATCATGGCCCAGCCAAGCTGACACATAGCATTATCACAGCCAGCATTACTGTTGCCTCACACCTTGGCATCTGTTACTGCCAGATGTGTGTCATTAATGTGCAAAATAGTCCAACAGATTTTTTAATATTGCCATGAATGCAAAATGTTGGATCAGAGAGTCGATAAGTGAGGAGTAGGTGTAATGATGATGGTGACATTTATTAAATGCTAAATGCTTACTATGTTACTATGTGCCAGGCACAGTTTTAAGTGCTCTTCTTATATGAATTAGATACCACAATATCCTTGTGAGGTTGGTACTCAAATGATACCTTGCAAATGAGGAAAAGGAAACAGACTAGGTAACTTGCCCAACGTCACACGTCTAGGAAGTAGTTGTCTGGCAATATTTTTGGTTATTATAACTGGTGGTTAAAGCATTTGGCTGCTAACCGAAAGGTCGGAGGTTCAAACCTACCAGCCACTCTGGATAAGAAAGATGTGGCAGTCTGCTTCCGTAAAGATTTACAGCCTTAGAAACCCTATGGGGCAGTTCTACTCTGTCCTATAGGGTCGTTATGAGTTGAAATTGACTTGACAGAAATGGGTTACAAGAGGGGGCGGGGAGTTGGGCATGGTGTTACTGGCATTTAGTGGGTCCCTGGGTAGTGCAAACGGTTAAGTGCTCTACTACTTGCCTAAAGGTTGATGGTTCGAATCCACCCAGAGACGTTTGGAAGACAAGCCTGGAGACATGCTTCCGAAGGGTCACCACCTTGAAAACCTTATGGAGCAGTTCTTCTCTGCATGGGGTCGCAATGAGTCAGAACCAACTTGATGGCACTAATAGCAACAGTGGACAGAGGCTAGGGATGCTGCTAAATGTCCTACAGTGTGCAGGACCCACAACAAATTATTTGGCCCAAAATGTTAATAGTGCTGAGGTTGAGAAACCCTGCACAATGCTCTGTTAGAAGGAATTAAGAGACGATCAAGTCCAAGCTCCTCATGGTGTTATTGAGGAAATGGGGTCCAGAGAAGGGCAGTCCTTTTGTCAAATATTTATTGAGCACTTATTATGTGCCAAGCCTCTTGGCTATCAGCAAGCCCTATTCTACTTCCAAAATGTTTCTCAAATTCATTCACAGCTCTCTATCTTAACCACAACTCCCTATTCCAAGCCATCACCATCTCTTGCCTGGATTATTATAAGAGCTTCCTAACCAATCTCCGTATCCATTCTTGCCCTATCCAGCCAATTTTCTGCACGACAGGTAGAGTGATCTTTTAAAGATGTACATTATAAAAATGAAAATCACTATTTAAAATAAAATCCAACAGAACAACTAAGAAGAAACTCAGCAAAGATACAGAAGACCTAAAGGGCAGAATCAGCCAACTGGACCTCATAGACATATATAGAACA